AATAGAGCTCGAATATCGTCGCAGTTCGGGGCTTCCCAACCTTTCTCGTGAAAAAGAACGAGTGGGCTGATTATTCTTAGCCACACGATTGGGGAAATTTAACTAAAACCAATTCCCCAATCTCGAAGGTCTTCGGTCAAGATTCGGGGCAAGGGGAACCGCAGCCCGAACACCATGGACCGTTCGGCTACTCCAACGTACCCTGGCGGCGGACAATGAATGTGTTCGTGCCTATACGGAGCAAACATTCGCAGTTCTCTAGGTACCCGAATAGAGGTCCGTAGTTTAACTACCCGGTCGTCGGTCATATCACTCGGTACGGAGGTGAGTGTATACCAAGTCTGAGTCGGCCACTCACGGTACGGTCGTCGCCAGTATCCCCTTGGGACAACAACGATTGATTCCTCGACCTTTCGGTCTTCCTCGGCGTTTTCTTTGAGAAGGGGGAGTCGCAGACGGCCCGTCGTATCCCCCTGGAGAGCCTCCTCATATTTCTCTTCATTGTAACTCTCGGAGGGAGTGGACATATCCGACGTTTTGACAGAGAAAAAGGGGGAAGTTACGGGAAGAAAAGATCACCGACAAAAAAGAGAAATTACCTTATCGGGATTACGATTTTGCAGAAGAAGCGAACGGACAGACGTTATACTCGATCTTGGGAACGCGAGAGGTTCTAAGAATTTGGGAAAAGTTTGAGTAAGAAAAATGTTTAAACTCAGGGAGCGCCGTATTTATAGGAGAACATTTGAATCTCTAAGAAGACAGAATGATTCAGATCTAAAACGGTGTAAGGTAATGAAGCGTTTCACACACGCCATTAATATCATCGGATCAATGCGATCGCGACACGTCGAAAGGAACAGAGACTGTCGGTTCAGAAATGCAAAGGGGCGCGACTTTTCATGAAACATCATTTCAATCCTCTCATTCGGCTCCATGGGGGCACATAAAGCAGCTCCGGCAGATACGATCGATACAAGCCTATCCGTATACACCGAACCTGGGGGCCTTTGTACGTGGTAGAGACCGAACGGATAGGAAAGGTAATTGCTTAAAGGTTTACTCGGGGTCGCAGGACGAGAAGCAATGGAACAAACCAAATCCAAGAGAGGACCGAGCGAGACATGGGTAGCGTGTCGTAACCCGAGCGAGTTTTCTTTATTGAGATGGTGTTTTATAGTACATTAGCATCAAATGTGGTGTGACTAAATATCTATTTGATATCTTGTAAAATAAAAGGGGAAAAGAAAACCTGAAATTAGCATGTAATAAGTCCTCACACTTTCTATAAAAGGAGCAAGAGGCAACATTAAGTGCAATGAGTAAATGCTCTCATTAAATACCAAGTAAGTCACGAACAGAGCTTACATTCGTATTGTCTTTTGTACCGAATACCACACAAAATCCCTATTCGTGCAGACTGAACAGAGTATACATTCTCGTATACAGTTCGAACACATTGTTGGTCAATTTTAGACATCAACAATTATTATATTATTTGTTTATTTTACAAATTAATTTATATTATTCTTATTTAATAATTTATTTATTATTTAATATATGTGTATAATGAAAAACATAAAAAATATTTTTTATTAACTTTCAAAAATTATAGATTTGGCATGGGGCTTAACTGAAATATAATTAAAATTTTAAGACTAAGGTCCCTAAACTTAGCCTAATTCTCAAAATAAAACCCCAAAATTTACACCCCATAAATGTCACATTCCCGCGAGTGCGCCCGCCGCCGTTGCAGCAGCCGCTGCCTGTATCCGTCGCCGCCGCCAGCCGTGTATCGTGTGCCTTCAGCCTCAGCCTTCCCCCATCTCGTCGCCCGCCTATTCGCCGTCCTCTGATGGACTCCCATTTCAGCGGGTTACTGTCGTCGGTCACTGTGAGTTCCTCGCTGCCCCCGTTGGCCTTCCTCCATCTTTCACGACGTCAACTCTCCTCCGTTCGGCCGTGCCGAACGACATTTTGACGACGTGAGACACGCCGGAGCTCTCTGGAGGCGTACGACCGGATGTCAGTGATTTACATTTGCAGCGGTGGACTGTGGCTGCGCCGGGCGGCGATTTCGGAGGCGGGTATGGCGGCGGCGGGTTGCTGTGTGTAGGCACCTGTGAGGTATGGCTACGGCGGATCTATTGGTGGCGACCTCCGGTGGTTCTATTGGTGGCGGCCTCCGGCGGCTCTATTGGTGGCGGCCTCTAGCGGCTCTATTGGTGGCGGCCGCCGTTTGTGGTGCGCGCGCGCGCGTGTGTGTGTTTTGTAGATTCGAGATCTGAATCTCAATGGCGAGAAACGTGAGAAAGAAAGAGTGTGATGAGAGAGAAAAATGTGGTTAATTGTATGTGGGTCCCACATAATATAATATATGTGTATTGACCAAGTTACCCTTAATTATTGGTCAAATGCACATATTTGACCACATCATGATAAAATAATTACCAGATTGTCATTAATGATTGACCATAGTTTGACTTCATCATCACCATTGATATGGTTGATCCCATGTCCAAGTTCATTCTTATTTCTTTCACTATGAGTCATTCTCATATGATCCTAATGTATACAAGTATTTGGTTATATTTATTAATATTCTATTAAATATATACAAGTATTTGGTATTGATTAGTTATGCAGATTTCTGATACAAAATATAAAACATTAAAAATCTTTTTATTAGATATTGTTATTAAACCTCAGGCGATGGCTACTATGCTGAAGTGATTACGGGGTCTGTTATCTACTCTTGGTGTCGCTCACTCTCAGCCTATGCATTTACACTATGACAGTCAGTCTGCGCTGCATATTGAGGTGAATCCAGTCTTTCATGAGTGCACCAAGCACATAGAGGTGGATTGCCACTTTGTTCGTGATGCTGTTCTACAGGGTCTCATTTCTACTACTCATGTTCCTTCAATAGAACAACTCGCTGACATTTCACCAAGGTGCTTGGGAAGCGTAATTCGATTTCTTTCTTGGCAAGTTGGGCATTCGAAATCAGCATACTCCAACTTGAGGGGGGGTGTTATTGTGTATTTCTGTATTAGCCTTAGGTTATATTTTAGTATGTGTAGCCCTAATTTTGTGTATATACACTTGGTTAATAAAGAGTTTGTATTATCCGATTGAGATGATTTTCCCCACAAATTACGTCTAGTCTCTCTCGTATCACGATCGTCCCCTCGTCATCAAAACGAGGCGGACCCTCATACTCGGTCATCAAAACAATTGCGGACCCTCACACTCGGTCAAGTTTTCCTCCGGCCCGGGAGGTCCTCATTGAAAATTGGCAGACCGTCGTGGAAACCGCCTGTGTTGCCGGTAAGTTGCTCCACCCGAAAACCCGTCTCCCATCGCGACTCACCAAAGCCCTCGGTCTCACGCCGAGGCTCGCGACGCCGGTTCTCCTCAAAATCTACGAATCTAGGGCCAAACATCGTCAGTCGCGAAGACCATCCTGGCCGAAGCCCTCGACTTCATGGCGTGCATACTGGTTGCCACATGGATTGACGTCTGAAACGAGAACAAGAAGAGAAATAAAATCTCAAATTTTATGTTTTCAATACCTGTGGCTAATGTCAAGAGAACGAAATAAAAAGAGTTCCAAGCAGTCTAAATAACTATCTTGCTAGACTTGTAAATACCTAACAAAATAATCATTCTACTACCAACTTAATAAAATAAATAAAGGAAATAATAATAATAATAATAATAATAATAATAATAATAATAATAATAATAATAATAATACAAATAAATAATCAAGCTAGAGACAGCATCCGGTCGTATCTCTCCAGAAAGATAAGGGTGATGTCGTCTCCATCAAAATCTCACTCTAAATTTTACCTAGATTCTTCTAAATCTGAATATCTTAAAAAAAATTAAATATAAAAAAATTTCAATATATCAGTCACAATCACAAACGTATACATCTTAGAGATAATTATAAAAATTTATTCAAAAAACATGATATTGTATTTTCTAAAAAAAGTTGCCTAATCTTTTAAACCCGTTATAATAGCATCTCCAATGCTCAACTTTCACCATTAATTAAATTTGAACACATGTCAATCAATGGATTAATGTTTAATCTATATTAACTGAATGTTTAAAGAATAGGACTTTCATTTGAATCGTTACCTTCAATGCATCCATTCAACAACCATACAATTTGTATATGTGGATTTATCCATTTATTAATAAAGTAAAAGAGTATATTAGAAAAAAACCACAAATTCCAATAATTATATGCATGATGTTATTTTTTGTTGATTCAGTTAATTTTTATTTATATCATCAAATTTATACAATTGTTATTTATTCAATAATTTCTCAATTACAATATGGATAACCACACAATAAATATTTTTTAATCGGTTCAGAATAAAACCACAAAACATTAAATTGCAAGAACTCAACAAACAAATCTCATGAAGATAATATTTTACTTTTCAGGACATTATTATTGATAATTTTTAAATTTTTGTTGTAACTCATCAAATGATACTACTGTATTCAAATAAATTCTCAAAATTTTTCTTGGATAAATGTAAAGGTGGGATTTTTCCAAGTTTATGAAAAACTCAAAATTTGTGTCAAATAATTATCAAAATACTGAGTCATCACTAACAGAATGTGTGAAATTAAAAAATGAGCTTGACAATGTTAACATTAATTTTTTACACATAAGCATGAAAGGACCCATAATCTAATGCATTGGAGAACTAATTATTCACACACTTTCTATCTAGAGATACTCTAAGCACGTCGGCATCAAGTTTGGTGCCAACTTTTAGTCTTTTAAAGCACGCGAGACTTTCATCAAATCATTCATAAATAGTAATATATTTGTTGTGGCGTGGTAGGTAATAGACCGAGTAAATGGGTTATGTACACTACAATTGTAGCATATGTGGGATACCCACATCAATCTTCATCAACTATTAATTCGGCAATTTTAGTGCCTGTCACGTTGTGTGACCCAAGTATGATTTATCAATGCCAAATCCATAAAAAAAACACATGCACCAGGTACCTCCAATAGATATTTAAAAAAAAAAAATGTATAATAGATCTGTATCTTGCTCAATATGACACTCAAAAGTAGTATGTATATGGCTTACACTAAACTAAACATATCATCGAGATTCTTAACTTCCTACTTTTCGTCCATTTAAATTTTCCCATATGAAGAAAGAATGACTCCATAGCTTCCAAGTTTCGAAGATTCATCAATCGAGCAAATGAAACTAGCAACGGATATGCGGATAAGAGAGCTCCTTCCTACTTTGATTCTCCTAATAACAAGTAACTTAACACGAAAATAAGAAATAATAAAGCAATACGTAGCATTCATGACAGTAAAATCCAAGAATTGAAGAACTAATTCAACTTTGGAACAAGTACCAAGGAAAAAACTGTCATGGAAAACTCATTCAATCTTTCTTCAGCTTCTCGACTTGGTGTATCCGAGACTAATTAGCTTCTGCATCAGCATTTTCTCAGCATTTGCCTGAAACCCCGTAATAGACACGCATGACATAGAAAATAATTAATGAACAAATAGTTCATAAAAATTTTTGCAGCCGTGTTCATGAAGCAAATGGAAGAGTGTGACAGAGAGATCTAACCTCAAGCATGGGGTTATTCTTTGGTACGTTACAAGCAAGTACGATGTTAAGACCAGTCTTTAGAACTGAAATTCGAGTCATGAATCAGACCAATTACGGAATTATTGAAGTGCATAAGTATTATATTGATAGCAATTTTACCTAATCGGCGAGCAATACCAAAACCCGTGTTATCAGAAGCTCCTCCTATTAGAGAAGTCACACCAACTGTGTGGCTCTGCACATAGTCAAATAGTCAGAAAGGAATATAACACAAATATTAAGAAATGGGGCGGATAATCAAAACAAACAAAAAGATAGAAAATGCCCAAATGTAATAATTTTTTAACTTACAGGCCGTGTAGGTGCAGCCGCATACAAATGTCCAAACTTGGCCGAGTTGCAACCAACCCAGGCATAAATCTATACAAGAGGTGAATGGATCAGAATTGGTTCCAAAAGAAAGGAAAATGCAGATACAGTTTTTGAAGTTACAATTAGACTCAAAACATGGAAAACACAATCGATAAAAGCTTGAACATAGTTGTCTCCAAAAGAACCTATATACAATGTTCTGGATTAGAATACATGCTCAACAAGTGAGCTAAAAAACTGCATGCTCAAGTTCCAGTTATTTGGACCAAATGCAAGGAAGGTACAAAGTTCCAACATATTAATAAGCTTCCAACTTCAGAAAACAATACCAACTATGCACGTTATACGTAACACTAACTTATTTTACCTCCAAATGTGAAGACATACGATCAAGGCACACAGCCAGAGCATATAAAATCATTAATGAAACCTAATTTAAGATCAAAAAATTAAACAAGCTACAAGCATACGAAAACTAGAGGTGTTCCCTATGTCAGCCCAAAAATATCCTACAAGATGGTCAGAAACAAACCAAACCAAAACAAATTAAGTCAGAACAATTATCTGCGAAAAACAAATCAAAGGGACAAAAAGAATCGAAATATACGAGCACCTGATTGTGAAGACGAATAATCTGAAAGTGGAAGGTAACTTCATCAGAAGCTTGAGAAAAACAAGTGATTTGTGGGCTACCTTCAGCTTGATCAGCCCGTTCTTTGATGCTCAACTCATTTATACTCCCGCGTACTCTTTCAATCTCATTGTTGTCCATTTTTAGCTGCGGAAGAATTGCCTTTGTCAGTTTTGCTTTTTGCATATTACTTTTCGATTGTAAGTAACCCAGCACAAACAAGAAAAAGAGCCCAGCCAACATAAATAATTTCACAATGTCTAATTATGGAAGCACATAAATAATCTCACAATGTCTAATTATGGAAGCGTGCTGGGTATTGAAAAAAAAATCACAAAGCTAAAAAAATTCATTGAGTCTCAGACTCACTCTCAACATTTCACATAATCCTCAAACACACAGGCTACAACATTTCATAAACTTTACAATCACCAATTAAAACAATTAAAGATTATCCCCAATTCACAATCACAAATTCACATTCACAGGTCAGTGGTCACAGCCACAGTCAGCCAACTATATTAGCCCAAAAAAAAAAGAGAAATATAAAGTTCTAGGCTACAACATTTCATAAACTTTATGATCACCAATTAAAGCAATTAAAGATTATCCCCAATTCACAATCACAAATTCACATTCACAGGTCAGTGGTCACAGCCACAGTCAGCCAACTATATTAGCCCAAAAAAAAAAAAAGAAAAATATTAAGTTCTAGACAATGCCTGGTATAGCGTCGGCCGGAATGGGAGGGCGAGGGCTTGTCAACTTGCTGAGCGCCAGGCGGCGGCCGGTAACAGATTCGCCGCTTGACTGGTGGTTGACCGGTGATGGACTAGTGCTGAGAGCGGGTGGTTGGTGACAGCCGACGGGTGAGTGTGAGAAATTGTGCGAGGAGAGTTTCTAGGGATTGTTTGCTTTGGACTGAAACTGTGAGTCTGTGACCGATCTTGATTCAAACAACCCGTCAATGACCCGACTGCCCTCCAGGATGGCAATATGACCCGTGCCCGGTAAAAAATAAAAAACCTTTATTAACATCAACAACTAAATGTTAAAAAAATATAAAACCCAATTTTTCATCACCGAAAATTGACAAATACACCAACAACATGCGGACGAGATCTCAAACGGAATATTACCTCAATCGACGGTGGTGGTCTCTCTCGTCAGGTGAACGGGTGCGGGATCGATCTGATTGAAAAGATTGGAAAAATTAGATCTGATAGAAAAAGTAGATGGAGATTTGAGAGAAGGAGACGGAGATATGTGGGTCGGTGAGGGATAAATAAGAATTAAAAAAACAAAATAAAAAAATAATAACTGTTATTGAGTATAAAAACAAAATAAAAAAAAATAATAACTGTTATTGAATATAAAATTGGAAATCAATATTATAGTTTTGGCTTAATAATAAAATATTAAATTAGTGTAACAACTATTTTAAAGAGGTGGAAACGGTTAAGAAATCAGTTAGATATTTTTTTACCATGTGTAAAAAGGCGTAATAGTGTAAACCAAAAGTCTAGTTTTGGCTAAATAATATACCGATTAATTAATATAAATAGTTTTTATATTAGATAAGAGATGTTATTATTTCCTTTGGAGCAGGGCGGACCTAGCCTGTTTTCAAAAAAGGTCGGGCCGGGCTGACCGGTCAAGCAAACAAGCCAGGTTTGGGTATCAATTCTGCTCCCGGCCCACCCCGCCCCGGCCTGTAGATCAATAAAATTTATTACATGTAGACTTATACTGAAGTTGTTCATTCTTTTAAAGGCCCATGAAATTGATATTCTAGTAAGGCCCAGACCTCTTTTAGCCCAATATATTACATCTGCCCTATTTTTTCACGCACTTCACAGTGTTCACTTTTCTATCTTCATATCTATTGCAGCTTCAATTATGTGACTTCGCCATTCGCCCCCCTTGCAACAAGCAACCTCGTCACAGAGCCTGTCCTGTAAATTATTAGGCCCTGGACCAAATATAAAAATAATGCCCCCAAGTACTTCTTCTACAAACTTTTTCTCTTCACCAACAAGTTCAAAAGCTATAGCCTCATCTATACCATTTTGATTCTCACTTGGATTATCGGTACCTTCATTCTCATCATTATCAACTCAACTTCAGTAGGATTATCTTCGATCTGTGTTACTTTTAATTGTAACATCATTCTTAATCTTTTTAAGAATAATTTTATCCATTGAACCTTTTAAAGGCTCAATTATACCTTCATTATCTTTCTTTTTTTCCCTCTTTTAATGTCTAGATAGTTAAGTTTCTAATAATCAAATTATCAAACCAATAAGTCAATAACAAATTAACAGTTATCACAATTTATTCTAAACAGATAAATAGAAATCACAAACAAAACTTATCCCAAAAATAGTATGATAAAAATATACTAATCTTACAATATGTGCCTAGTCAAATGCTGAATCAAACAAAAAAATAAATAAATTATCAGAACAAGTAAACAAATAAAACCACAGCAAGCAAAGCAATTAACATAAATAGCTATTAGCCAATTTAGAAAATAGATATCAAATTAAAAATCAAGAATATAAAAACCAAAAGATCTTCTTTTTGTTCACCTTGCTGCGGTCGCCGGAAGCCGCAGACGGTGGTGAAGTTCGGCTCGGTTGTGGAGGACGGCGAGCCGGGCGAGGTGGACAGCGGGCCGGGCGAGGTAGACTACAAACAGATAGCTGATTTTTCGTCAATGAGAGGGCCAAAAAAAATTTAATTGATCAATTTTTTTCAAAATAAAGAAAAGATTCAATCTTGTTGATTGAATTAGATTAAAAAAATATGGATTGAATTTGAATCTTAGTATGAAAAATAAAGATGGAAATACTATTTATAATCTATATAATTAATTACCTTGACGATTGGAATTTTGGAATTTGGAGAGATAGGGGGAAGACGAAATTTGGAGAATGAAGGATAAGTACCAGCCGCGCTCTTCCTTCTTGTTTGTAGAGACGGAGTAGTCTAATTAATTTTGGGGCTTTAATGTAAAGTTTTTTTCATTTTTTCCCGCTAACATTCACTCATAAAAATGTGCTGAGATTGTTTGATGTGTAGGACCGTTTATATTGTTTATAGTGGACTAGAGTCTAGTCTAGTGGAGTGATGAACCTTTCTATTTGTGCCAGGAGTGTAGATTATTAGTGTACTTGTGCTGAATCTTATTATTTGGGCCAGAAATATATACAACGCATGCATATATATAAGAGATAATTACACTGTGTAATGACAAAGACAAGAAATATTGTACATGTACCAATAAAGTATCTTATTTGCCCATTTACGAGATTAGCACCTAAATTATGTCCAACCGTTTCAAGCATGATTTAAGGAGGTGGGTTTTTTATATGGTAAGTGTTACTGATTTTTTGGGATTTGTAACCTCCTATCATCCACTAACCCTTCTCAGACTTCATTGCACACACGCTTTACTTTTCCAAAATCCCAAAATATTTACTTCTTCTTCAACAATTGCAAGTTGAAGAAGAATCAATAATTCAACAAAATACTGATCGTTGCACGACATGGAGGTTGCGCCGGCGTCGGGTTGCGTAAGGCGAACTGGTCTGACCGCTCGCGTGGACTGAGGCGTTGCTCCTCTACTTCAAGTGGCGAGGTATCCTCTCCGGTAGGGCGTGCGGCTGCTTCTAGGCAGGGACGGATCCATAAATTAAGTATAGATTGGGCTAGAATTTTAAATACTCATTTTCATAAAAAAACTACATAATATTTTTTCTTCAAATATTCACTGAAGTTGTGCTCGACGAACGAACCTATACTTATACTATTAGTAAACTCATGTTCGATGAAGAGAATAAGCACTTTTCGAGAAAACCATCCCCAATCTTATGTGCTGAAATATTAATTTTTAAACTAATCATTTTTACATTTTATACTCATGATCAACCATTCAAAAATGAACTCACACCAAATAAATTATTTACCAAAAGGCAAAATCTATAATAGAAAATCCCCCTAGGCCCATATCAAACAGAAAATAAGAAATCCCTTTATGCTTAAAAGTTCAAATTACTCTTTTCCTCCCAAAAATCAAGCACTCAACATGATGTCAAATCCTGTCAAAGCCCACTAACCAGATGCGCCTGAAGGTTTTATACATACAGAGCATCATTTAGTTTTGCTAAAAAAAAAAAGCTACCATTCTTTCTTTTCCAAGAACTCTTGCTTTGCTACCGTCACCAAATGTGACTGAACCAACTTGAGTATCTTCTGGATTCTCAAATATGGCTTTATCTCACACAATCAGACCTCATAACAACACCATGTCTCACATAATAATCAAACCTCATAATTTAGCCATCTAGGGTTTGTAAAGACATTTTTTTTTATACCTTCAAATCGGAGGACCAAGTGGTCAGTGGTGGGCAGGAGGCTGATCAGGTCGACGAGTTGGCGGCAAAATTCGACGGTCCGGCCGAAAGCTGAACGCAATGGCAGGTGGAGATTTTTTTTTTTTTTTC